GTGTAAGTTTCACTTTTTTTCTTCTTTATCGCAATGCTTCGTTCCTGCGTCGCGTGTTTAAATAATGTAGGCATTTGTTGTATACGTGTTTCTCTGTGTGCAATGGTGTATAGAGTGCAAGGGGAAGGCACTTCCGCTGTTTTGCCGATGTCACACCGAGAACACGGGATTGCGTCTCCTACTTCTTCATTATATTCGCGTACAAGACATCCTACGTTAATACATAACCTTTAAAAGAATACACTCTCGTCTAGTAAAATATAATATGAATATTCCTCTTATGGAAGTACGTAGTAGCTTTGCGATAAAACAATCACAGTCCTAAGGAAATATATATTTTGCTACGTCTGACACAACAACGGCGACGACCGATCGGGCGTCGAGCCCAGAGCGCGATTCCGGGTTTTCGGTGTGAATTTAAAAAAAAAAAAAAAAAACCCAGCCACCCTCTCGATAATGTACGTATATAATTTATGTAGACATCAAGTTCAGGAACCCTAAAAGTGTCGGTCCGTAACCAGTATTTCAGGCTCGATCCTATCGACTCTCTCACTATCTCCTTGTACCTCATGGAGTTGTCGTTACGGAATACGGAACTTTAATCGCGCATTATCGCCGAATCCTCGGCTTGTCCAAGGCCGTTAGGACGACTTCGCTTATGGATTAACGTATCATATATCGTCATCTTCTCGTGGCCCTTTAGCGCCAATGACGTCACGTGTGTATGATATCGTAGTATCATAAGTACCGATCGTGAATTCCAGGTTAACGCCATGCAAGGCACTGAAAGGGCTAATCTTATTATACTCCAGTGCCACGCGCATGCGAGAACAGTGTGTGCGTGTACGTGTGTATAAGTGTAATACATTACATATTATCACATAGGATCGCCGCACGCACGTTTATCATACAGATAGAAACAATTTCTTCCCTCCGGGACACACAGGTGTCTCAATAAATTCCCTTAATCACTAATATAAAACGGCGCTCGAAGAGCGCATTTTCGTGGCGATCGTTATGGAAGACCCCATGGATACCCTTGAGAATTCTCAATTCTGATTCTTTAAAGCGAGAACCATTACCTACTTGCAAATCTTAGTAAAAATCTATTATCCTCGAGGAAAATAAAGTATAACGTTGTAAATGTTAATTATAGAATATCGTCGATTACAATCGTCGATTATAAATGTGTAACTTACGAACGTTTAAAAAATATGTAGATTCGCCATTTCAAAAGAAGGACAACTACAGTTTACATCATGGAAGAGATATTTATAAAATATTATATTCAAATCGTCAAAATATGCTATGTTCGTCACTTATATAATTATATATAAAATAAAAAAAATTATAGGCGATAACATTAAATTAGTAGGCGAACGAGAGATATTTTTCTCTGAAATCTATAAAAGAGTGTTTTGCGTGTTACTCTTTAAATTGTGTGCAGTCCGTACAAATGTACGGCTTAAATTGTTTTACAATTCATTATTATTAATTAAAAATCTATTCTAAAATCATTATAAGACAATCTCAATTCTACAATCTTGTGCGTTTTCTGAATAGATGATATTTCATGATCCCTTGGAAGAAGTTGTTTCTAATACCGCGAAAGAATCAAAGGAATTGTGAGGTAATGTACCTTATTCTCCATTCATATCCTCTTGAACTTTTTTTTAAACCAAGAGAAGACATACGACGATTTGTAATCCGAATAAAATTTCTTAGCAATTACAATTTGCTACGTCACGACCACGACCAGGATTAAAACTAAACTTTTACGAGAGAGATTTAAAATACGTATATCGTGAACTTTTCGCGCACGAAGCGTTAAAAGTATTTCACTTGCATACGTGTCGGGATTCTGGAAAATACCTCACCTTGCTCTGTTCTTTCACGTTTTCGTGTACACAAATTCCTACCGCCGCACAATTCGTACATTCGATTTTTTTCATGAAAATTATGATACGACCGGCCATTTCGTTTCTTCTCCACTAAACGTGCCAGTGAATGTTCTCTCCATACATGTATGTATGTGTGTGTACATAATTATATATTTAATATATATATATATAACAGTATATGAGATATCATATATATTAAATATATCATACATGTACACAAACATATATATATATATGCATATAACTTTACATATATGACAAATATCTTTCAATTTTGTCCTGTATTAAAAAAAAAATTATTTACAAATGCATGTATACATACATATGCATATGTATATATGTTTATTATAACTATACATTTAGACTTAAACAAACTTTCAAATCACTGGCAAACGCGTGAATGCGGACATACGGAAGAGAAGAAAGTAGATGTTAGTGTGATTACATTTCCTTGTATTTTTTCACATACAAATTCCGCTCTCTCAGCTAGCATCGCATAACCGCTTTCCTCTCTTGCCGTTATACGCGCGAATTAATAAAAATATACGCCATGTCTACCATGTAAGTCGTGTGAGTGTCTTAAGTGTAATGTTTGTGCGGTCGTGTACCACGATGCGCATGTGAACTCGTTTTTTCTTCCCACCCTCGAGAGTGGCAATCGACGAGACGTTTCTCTTCCCGTCTCACCGCCTTCAAGGTTGGACCGATCATTTTTTTTTTTTTTACTCTCCCTCCTCTGTCTCCCTTCAATTTCACGTAAATACATCCGCATATCACGCGGATCCGCTGTTCTCTTTTTCTCTTTCTCCATTATTTTCTGTACTTCTCTCATTCGGCTAAATGCATAAGCTCGTAGGTCGCAATTGACGAAGTTCACTACGTTCAACAGACTCCCCCGAATTGAATCCATCCAGGACAGAAGAGTACGTTGTGTTCGAGCACGCTTATGCTAAAGAGATACGCTAAGTATAAAACAAATAACTATTCTAAATTCTATACGCATATTACATGACAACTAAGGGCCTACCGGAAGCGTCGCATCTTCCGGTCGAATTTATCGTCGATGTGCAAGGTGTTTTTAGGAAATATATATACGTCGCTATATATAATATGTATTCTTATAGCTAAATTTTTAAAAAAGACAGATTAAGTCAATAAAAATGTTAAAACAATTTTCTTTAAATATTAACAAATATCACGCATAAGCCTCGTATAATTCAAAATATATCACGTGATAACGAAAAAAAAAAAAACAGTTTTTTGAATGCACATGATGCTAAAATGTTAAAATCAATATTACTTGTGCGAATTCTTTTGATTTAACATTATTTAACTTTCTTCCGAAATGAACAAACAAAATAAAATTTTGAACATATTACTATAATATATAAATAAGCGAATCGTGCTCTAGTAAAATAATCCAACTTTGGATAATAATTATTTCAATAACTCTAAACGCGCGAATGCTAATTAACACTACGGACTTAACGGCAAGTATCGCATATAACGTGACTTAGGCCGAGCGTCGTTTTTTTTTCTCTTTGTTCCGGACGTTAAACGTTAAAATTTGGACGAATAGCTATAACACAAAAATTTATGTAATTTCGAAATAAAAATATTGCGACGCCGTTTTTTTTTTTTTACGGCGGAAATTGACTTATTTACAATTTAGCCTATTAAAAGAATAAAACGGAGCCACGTAACGACACATAACATTTTTAATAGTTCTCTGCAGTAAAACAATGCTAATTATCGGCATAATTAAAAACTATCTCTATAAAGTATATCGCAAATCGCTATTATAATCGCTATCTAAAAAAAAGATCAAATAATAAAATAGATGATTAATATAACTCGTGACTTCGGCCACGCATAATTTTTCATAAACTCTCCCGTCTTCTCTCGAATGCAATCTTTATCGGCAAGTCAAAATTTCCAGTTAAAATATTAAAGTCGAAATTAAATTCAAAAAAAATTTTTTTTTTTATTTCGACAGAAATAAGATCGGAACGGTAGTCACGTCTCTCTCAGTCATGCAAGCAGGTAGGTAATATGACGGGAAAAAATCCCGTATTTCCTTTACCGTTCTCTTCTCAATTGTACGCTTATAACGCTCCAAATGGAATCAGGTCAATAAGGCACTGTTCACCGACAATGTCTGACTAGAAAATGAATCTATTTTCGGAACTTGTTTTTGTATATCAGCATTTCTCGTCTCGCAATCGTTTAACTGAATATTCCATCCCTCTCGCGAACGAAGACCGATTTCTCGCTTTTTTAGCACCGGCAATGACGATTAATATCTTAGGACTGCACTTTTGTTTTTTCTACGTTTTTCGTTTCATCGATGTAGTCAAAGATTTAAATACGCGTAATTTGTTAATATCGAAAATTAAAGCTAATAAATTGCAATTCGTATTTTGTATATAGTATAAAGAATGTATATATATATATGTATATATATTATACTCTCTCTTTCTTTCTCTTTTTTCTTTAATACACTTTTATCAGCAAAATATAGAAAAATCAAATAACAACGTATATATGACAAGAAATTCACTACTTGTTCACACTATGTAATTTATGCCGAAAAGTATAACATTCTAGAACTAATTCGCACTGGGCATTATTGTAATTATTGTAAACTAATGTATCAAATATCCATTTAGCTCGATTTTATTTTTTTTTTGTTTTACTTCCACACCGCTACACAACGCTACTATTTCTAAACACGTTTTCATTTCGGACTGAAACTAGAAAACTACAAAAATACAATTGCGAAAGTCTATTCAGAACGTAATAATTTTTACGATTCGTCCTTCGTCCCCGCAATTGAACACTAATCGTAAAGGTACTCTAGAATTATCTAAAATATCGCTACCACGATGCGGTAGCAGCAATCATCATCCGCAGCGGCTTTCGCGGAAATCGTTCGTTCGTTCGTCGCGAGGGAGAGAATGGAAGGTGCCCGAAGGAAGGAACGGCACTTTCGTGAGAAGAGACGAGTCTTCCCGAGCCGGTGGATAAGATGTCTTTACGACGTCTTCATCTTCTTGTACGGTTGCATGATCACCCCAGAGCTGACGGGGATCGCTACCTGCGGCTGCGCCGCTATTGTCGCCGGGTTGCCTATCTGCGGTATCTGCGGTACACCTGCGGCCGCAGCCGAGTGTACTCCGGGTACACCGGCTACTGCAGGTAGAACGGCGTATGGATTCTGGACGTAGGGATTGGTTTGTACGGTCGCGGCGCCGGGTATCGACGCCTGGATGTATGGGTTCGGCAAGATCTGCTGCCTGATCAGAGAGTATGGATTGATGGGGGTCGCTGTGGGTGGCGGTCTGGAATAGGCCAAGATACCCGCGGACAGCGGTGAGGTCAAGGCGCCCGGGATACCGGCCAGACTCGGGATGACAGGTCTGGGAGTCGCCGCGGTGGCTTGCAGATTGGCTGCCGCCACCGCGGGATTCCCGGCGGCCGCCGCGGCGGCGGGATTCATGAGATTTTGTTTATTCAGAGCGACGCCGGTGTAATTAAGTGCGAGCTGGCCAATGCCGTAAGACTGCGAGACCTGCGAGAGCTTAAGGGCTTTGGCATAGTTTTTCTGGGCGACCTCTTTGGCGAGAGTCGCTGGATCGAGAGGAGCTGGTAGTCCAGAGGCCATTCCGAGACTGTTGAGCATATTTAGGCTCGCCATATTGGAAGCAGCGTTATAATTGCCCATAGAGGTGAGGTTCGTTATCGATGACATATTTGCCATGGAGGCCATAGAAGCCATCGAGGCCATGTTCACCATACTGGGCATTGAGGTCAGGCTGGCCATAGAAGTCAACGGACTCATCGCTGGTGGTAGCGCCAACTGGTTGAGTTGCTGTTGTTGTTGTTGGTGTTGTTGCGATATCTGCTGCTGCTGTTGCTGTTGCTGCTGCTGCTGCTGCTGCTGCTGCTGCTGCTGCTGCAGAGACGATGGGCTCGAATGATTCAATTCGGGGGAGTTACGCGAATTTTCATCATGATTCTGCGTGGTAATCAGTTGCTTGTTATTGCCGTTACTATTGTTACTGTTATTGTCAGCGGTCGGAGGTGGCGGCGGCGGATTGTTGGGATCCATCAGCACGCCATTGTTGGCGTCAGCGCAGTTATTGACTGTTGCGCCAGCGGCTCCCTGGGAGGAGGAGGATTGCACCACTATCGCGTGGTGGTTGCTTTGCACGTTCGGGGGTTGCACGACCGATTGGTTAGAGGTTTGAGTGGGTAGGGGTGGTGTTCCAGTGTACTCACATGACACAGGCACGAAGGGCTGCTGCAGCTGCATTAACTGTTGATAGGTCGTCGCACCGGTAGGCTGATAGACCGGCACGCCGGACTTGTCGGCCGCCGGTCGTTTATACGGAACCATCCCTGGGAAGGCCTGCAAAAAGAATTGCAAAGAGATTCATGATTAGAATGAGCTTGCGACGCGAGCAACGTGGCCATTTCGAGCGGAAGCTTCCTCCATCCGAAAGCCTCGACTCCGTTTCGGCCGGGGATACGATATATTGTTCTCTTTTGCGTGCTCATGAGTTCTCTTGATCCAGCTGTGCAGGGGACGTCGGGTTTGACATTTTCCACGACGAGGCCGGTCAAAAGACTAACCTCTTTCGTCCAACACAATCAAATTCAATCGTAATTTATAATAAATTGGTATTTTAAGATGAGTTGATATCGATGTATTGTTACAATGATTCTTTTTTTGTCTTCTTTGCAAAACAGCAATTAGTCGCAGCATGCGATATGCACCGCAGCCGTAAGGAATCGTATCTACCTCTCAGCGATATCATCACTGTTTTAGAAAGAAACGACCGCTGCTGCTATCTCGTTAAATCTATCTCGATAATGCTCCATTTTAAGATGCTTGCAAATTTAATGATAATTCGAAAAGAATTTTGTCGGTAGAATTTTTATATCTCGCTGTAATAAATAAATATCTTCTGGATGGGGAGATACTAAAATATTAATCGCGAGTATAAATGGAATGATACGCACGAAGAAATGGAAGAAATGGAAAATCATATGAATTATGATTCAATGTTTAGGTTCTGCACTTACAAAGTTCTCGTAGTAGAACGACCCGACAGACTTCATGTCCATCTGCAACAAAGACAGGATCGGTTTCAACTAATTTCGAGGACGAGGCGCGTTGCGTCTGTATAATTGGATTTTCGAGAGACGGGAAACGAGAGAGGGCCGTGTCTCAAAGAAACGGGGGGGGGGGGGGGGAGG